TTTCGGGTGTTTTCCTCCTTTTTGCGCTGGTTTCTTCCCATCTTTGTGGATTTATCCACCTGTCATCTGTGTAGTTTCTGACTTTTCAATTGGGTCTCTGAGTGGACACCCAGATTGTTGATGATGAAGTATTTCTGTTACTTGGTTTTCCTTCTACCAGTCTAGTCCCTTTGCTGTACGACTGCTGAGGTCCACTCCAGGCCCTGCTTGTCTGGGGTGCACCTATAGCAGCTGCAGAACAGTGAGGGATGCTACCAGTTTCTTTTTCTGCTATCTTTGTCCCAGGATGATGCCTGCCAAACATCAGTCTTTAGGATATAGAGGGGTCAGGGAGCTGCTTGAGGAGACAGTCTGTACTTTATAGGAGCTCAAGTGCTGAGCTGTGAGCTCTGTCATTCATTCAGGGCTGTTAGGCTGCTATGTTTAATTCTGCTGCAACAGAACTCATAAAAAAACCCTTTTATTCTCAGATGCTCTGTCTGGGGGCTTGGGGCTTTTTTTTTTGAGTGTCTGTTGTGTTGTCCTGCCCATCTAGGAGGCAGTTTAGTCACTATTTGCCTGCCAAGGCTCCGCCCTGCTGGTGTCAGGTTCTCCCTGTTGCTGCAGGCTCTGCCCTTCTGCTGCAGTCTCCGCCCTGCTGCCATGGGCTATGCCCTGCGGCGGAGTCTCTCTGTTGTAGCGGTTTGCCTCGGCAATCGTAGGCTGCTTCAGCAATGGGCGTGTACCTCAGTAGGGGTGGTTTGCCTTGGTAATGGCAGACGCCCCTCCCCCACAGAGCTGCACCCTCAGGGAACCTCTCCACCGGGAGCGTTTGGAATCACCATTTAATTTGTCCCACTGCGCTACCCCAAACGTTGTGTCCCTGGAATCTCCTGGGTTGGCTCACTGTCCAAGTCCCGTTGAGTCTCAAGTTCAGCCCTCTCAAGTCTCAGGTTGCCAGTTCAACAGGGCACCTGGACCAGTGTGCTTTGTGCGGAGCACTGTGTAGCACCACTGCAGTACAGTGCGGGTCCCCGCCACACCGGCTGCCGGCTGCACCAGCCAAAACCTCTGCCTGGCGTCCCGCATCTCTTTTATACCTGGGAATTTTCCCATTCTGTGGGCAACAAAGATCCGCCTGGAAATGCGGCCCTGACTCACCATCTCTGCGCATTGACCATGAGTTTCAATCCTGGGTTGTTCTCACAGTGCCATCTTGAGTGAATCTCCATATGGAGGATTTGAAAACAAAGATAGAAATGAAGTCAAGACAAAAATAGCATATGGGTCAAAAGGTAGTGGATGAAATCAGAGCACTGAAAGTGCGGCAGCATAGGTAATCAAGGAAGTAACCATGTCCTTGGGATGCAGCAACTGTGGTGACTGTACAATCAACACAATAAGCCTCAGCACTGATATACAGTTAAGCTCATTCCAGAAAAGCTATCTTCAGTAGAGAATTTACCCTGCAGAGAGCATGCACATTTTGATTTTACCTGTCTTCAGACTTACCCTTAACTCATAAAAACAGAGCCCTGGTTGAAGATTTAAGATGTGAATGAGACAAGCAACATGTATGAAAAGCATATATAAGCATGTACAACAAGCATTGTATAAACAACAAGCATTGTATGAACATACAGCTAACACACATGTGCACTCACAGGACCATCCAGAACATACTTACTAACAGCACCTGTTCCCACTTCTTTATGAATAATCATGTAAGATTCCCATAAGGGGAGTCTCCCTGGTGCCAGTCTTTGCTATCTCATCCTTATGAGTATCTGGCCCTGAATTCTCTCTTTCTCAGGTGTACTGTGTATTGTGCATTTAACTTTCCAAATATTCTTTCTCCTTTGAAATTCTCTATGCAGCATCTCCTTTGCTGTGTATCTTGTTTAAATTCTTTTAAAATAAGAAGAGAAGAACCGAGGTCTCACAATAGCCGTCAACAAAAGGTCCTTGCATTATTCAAAAAGAAAGTAGAAATATTGATTAACTTAAGACTTTCATACATTAAGAATGCATTTTAAAATTTCAAGATCAACCACTAAAAGAATAAAAATAGAGTACGTAGTTTCCAAACTAGCAGAGAGAGAAACATGAGAAGAGAGAAAAAAATCTATAATCAAAGCAAAGTGAGAAATGGAAAAAGGGGTGGAAAAACAAACAGGATAAATCCATAAAGTATCTATAAGTAGGCTAAATTTTCCTGTCAGGAGGCAAAGATTGCAAGGCTAGATTTAAAAGATCAAGCCATATGGAGATCTTAAAAAAACTTGAGCACAAAGTTTGAAAGTAAGAACATAGAGAAAAGCAAACTGTTGAAGCTGTATAGCTATTATATGAAATCAACTGTAAGACCAAAAGTTTTACTATAGGTAAAAGAATGTCACTACATAATTCTAAAACATTCAAATTCACCAGAAAGGTATAAATATTTGAAATTTATGGAAGAAAAATCCCCTCAAATATACCTAAAATTATAGACTGGCAAAGAGCAATACAGAAATTCACCATTAGAGTGGGAGAGTGTTATATGCCTCTCTTAATAATTGATAGACCAGAGAGACAAAAATGATATTATTATAGGTGAAGAGATTTTTCCTCTTCTGACAAAATATGTGGTTCCTTCTTCAGCACCAACTGGAGGTCCAACAAAATCTGTTTGATTCTTGTGCTGTCTGCCCAGAGTTAGCATCTGACTCCACAGGTTTAAGATTAAGTATCACAAGTCTGCCTACACTTAAGACAACAGTTGCAAATAGGTACCCAGGTTACCCACACTTTTGTCTGACTTCGTTATAAAGTTGGGCATTTTCCCAAGCCACCTCCTCTCCCAGGTTTAATAATTTGCTAAAATGATTCACGAAACTCAGGAAAATGCTATGCTTACTTTTACCATTCACTATAAGGGATACAAATGAACAGACATGAAGACAGGGCAAGATTCAGAAGGGTCCCAAGCACAAAATGGCCTGTCTCTGTGGAGGTTGGGCACACTACTTACTTGGCACATAGATATCTGAGCTAACTCAAAAGCTGCCCAGACCCAGTCATTTTGGAGTTTTTATGGAGGTTTCATTATACAGGCATGATGGTGTCTATTGGTGATTAACTCAATCTCCAGCTGCTTTCCGCTTCCCAGACGTTGAAGGGTGGGTCAGAACCTCCAAGCTTCTAATCAAGGCTTGATCTTTCTGCTGACCAGCCACTATCCTAAGCTATCTAGGGGCTTGCCAAGAGTCACCTCAGAACAAAACATGCTCCGATCACCCTTATCGCTGAGGAAATTCCAACTGTTTTAGGAGCCCTCTGCCATGAACCTGGGACAAAAAGCAAATGTTTTTAATATACCATAAAGATATAGATGATTTATGCTCCAATTTGAATGCTGATAGCAATTAAAAACATGTCAGGAAATAATTAACAAAATGTGAAAGGTATTCACAGAGAAAGTCATAAAACTGTATTAAAAATACTAAAAGGAAACCAATGTAAATGAAGAGGTATACCAGGTTTGGGTTAGATTTATTTTATTTAATATGGAGATTCAATTTCCCCCCAAATGCTCCATAGAATTATTGGTATTCTAATAAAAATCTCAAAGAAGTTTTTAATGGGAAAAAAGGCTGATTTAAAAAATGTATGTGCTGGTCATATACAGGAACAGTGGCTCATGCCTGCAATCTCAGCATTTTGGGAGCCGAGGTGGATCACTGGAGGTCAGGAGTTCCAGACCAGCCTGGTCAACATGGCAAAATCCCTTCTGTACTAAAAATACAAAAATTAGATGGGTGTGGTAATATGCACCTGTAGTTTCAGCTACTTGGGAGGCTGAGGCATAAGAATCACTTGAATCAGGGAGGTAGAGGTTGCAGTGAGCCAGGATCACACCACTGCACTCTGGCCACGGTGACAGAGTGAAACTTGGTCTCAATAATAGTAAGTATACACTAAGACAAAGGGCCAAAAATAGTCAAGGTGACTGTGTTTGTTTTGTGCTGCTATAAAAGACTATGTGAGACTGGGCAATTTTTAGAGAAAATACCTTGATTTGGCCTCTGGTTCTGTAGGCTGGGATGTCAAAGATTGGAGGGGCTGCATCTGGTTAGGGCCTTCTTGCTGCATCCTCAAAGAAATGAGGGGATCAGTGGAGGAGATCAGTGGAGGCAGAGTACAGCAAGGTCTGGAAATAGTTACGTATGTATGATTTGTAGAGCATGTGCTGGCTGGACAGTCAGGTAAAGGGTAGACCATGGCAGTTAAGGACCTTGGACTTTATCCAGAGAAAATGGAAGATTTTTAGGCAGAATCTATGGCCACTGTTATGGTCAGTTTTTGTTTAGAAAGATCACTGTAGCAGCAGGTGGTTCAGGAAAGACAGCAAGAACTGAGACTGGAAGCACAGAGATGAGTGAGTAATTCGTTCCAGTGGTTCAGGCTGGGGGATGATGTGTGTGGGAGCTTGCAGCAGGCGGTGGGCGGGGGTGGGTGGCAGTGGAGATTATTTACAAAATAAATGGATAGGACCTGGTGCCTGGGGAAGAGGAAGGAATTGGGTGTGAGGCCCGTGTTCAGGCAGATGTCTGGATTGAGAAAGTTTTCTGGAAGAAGCAGTTTTGGATCAGTCAACCGAGGCAGAGAAAGGCCCTTTTGGAGATGGAATGCACTCCCTCCAGTCTCCTGGGACTAAAACACAAACCAAACTGTGGTGGTTTTAAAACGTCTAAAAAGTCTTCCTCTCTCATGAAGCAGCTTCATGAGAGACCATGAGCTACAACCACTAGCCACACTGTTGCTAGATCCCTGACCCTCAGAAAAGTATGAGGTAATATGTGTTGTTTTCAATCCGCTGAATTTTGGGGGTAATGTGTAAAACTACTGTAAATAACCATCAGTGACGACCAAACTTTTGCCCTCTGAGACCCACCAGAGGCAGCTAACACTCCCCCCACCCCACCCCCACCCCCCGCCGTCTCAGGAAACACCACTTTCCACTCTTGTGTCCCCGACAGGAATCATCAGACATCGCTGACTCTTACCTTCTCAAGCAACACAACCCACCCTCCTGGCGCCTCACTCTGCCTCACCTCAGCCTCTAGGCAATATCTCTCGGTTGTGAGGCCTTCATTGGCGGGGGTCGAGTGTTGTATGTGACCCCAGGTCTCCAGTAAGACATGGTGGGAGGGAAGCAGCCTGGTGAAGGCAGGTGGTGGGATGGGGCTCTCTCCCTCTTCCCCATGCCGCCACCCTCCCTCACGCCCATATCCCGTCCAAAGCTCTTCCCGCGTCTGTTTCTGAAACCCCTCCACGTCCCCCTCCACCTCAGACCTCACCCTAGCCCCCGCGTCCCGCGACGCCAGCCTCTCACCCCACCGCGCCCTGACCCTCGCCGACCGAGCATCGCGGGCTGCACCGGGTCCCAGGCCTGTGCCTCTTCCCCAGCTCCCAGAGGTTTTTGCCAACCACCCTCCTGCGCCACAGCTGTTCATGTGCTGTTTACTTGCTTTTCCCTCCCCACCAAAAGGTGAGCCTTGAGAGGACACACCCTTGCGTAGAGCTTTGAACTTTTATCCGGAAAGGTGCCGGGCACATAATCAATGCCCGCGAGCACTCGCTTACGAGGGTCCTCCCGAGACCCACCGCAGCCTCTTCCCGGAGCCCCGAGGCCCCGCCCCTCACGGCTCCGCGCCCCGCCCCGCTTGCGCCCTGCGGGACCCGGAGTCACAGGCGCGCTTCTGTAGGACGGAATTCGGCGTCGGACTCTGAGCCTCCTGGTTCCGGTGGCGACTGCAGCGCATGGCGGTGAGCGGTGTGGAGAAGACGGGAGGGTGGCGGGACCTTGCAGCGTCTGCGGCCCTAAGTGACCCTCGTGCTGTTCCCCTTTCTCCAGGCCCTAGGACATCCTGCCGGGGAGGCAGCGGCGGCCCCAGGCCCGGGTACTCCCTGCGCGTCCCGCAGACACCTGCTCCCCGACCCGGTTTCCAGCGCCCGGAATCCTTCCGCTGTCTGTCTCTGCCCAGGGCAACCCACGGGCAGTAACACCGTCTCCAAAGTGCACCCGTTAGGCGATGAAGGCAGCGCAGCGTCGAAAAAACAAAAGAAGAAGAAAACCCGGAACAGGGCCTCTGTGGCAAATGGAGGCGAGAAGGCCTCAGAGAAACCCGCCCCAGAGGAAGTCCCCCTAAGCGCTGAGGCCCAGGCAAGGGCGGATATCAGTCGGGAAGGGTGGAATCCCGGGTGCCAGTCCACGGGCTCGTGTGGTGTGGGTCCACGAAGTTAAGGCGGGGAGGGGGATGGGATGGGGCCAGGGGCTCTGGTGTCCCAGGGCCCTCTCACAGCCACTTCCCCCAATCCATCACAGGCACAGCAGTTGGCCCAGGAATTGGCTTGGTGTGTGGAGCAGCTGGAGCTGGGCCTCAAGAGGCAGAAAGCCACTCTGAAACAGAGTAAGGGACCCTTCTGTAGAGTTAGGGGATGTGAATATTGGTACTGCCTGCCCTGCAGGTGCTGGCAGGGGATGGAGTTGTTGCCTTTGCGGTGGGGTGGTAGGAGCTCAGTATAGAGATGTTAACTAGTCCTTTATTTTTATTCGCAGAAGAGCAGGCTATTGGAGCAATCCGAGCCCTGCGCAGCAAAAGAACTCCCCTGCCCCAGAAGAGGCTGCTGATGCACTCCTTGTTTGGAGACTACAGGGCTCAGATGGAAGCCGAATGGCGTGAGGCCCTGCGGGCTCTCAGAGGTGGTGAGGAGCTAGCAACTGGTTGATTCAGAAGTCTTAATTTAAGGAGGAAGTATCTGGGGAGTGAAAGGAAGAAGGCCCAGAGCAACAAGGCTGGTGGGGGAAGGAGATGGGCTCAGGGAAGGCTGAGAAAGCAGGGAGAGATAAAGCATAGACCTCTCTTTCTCCTCTTCGCAGGACTGAACCTGGGAGGCAGTGGGGAGGTCCTGGGAGGAGGGGGAAAGAGCTTGGTCCTGTGTTGGTCTTGCTCCTGGGTTGGGGAAAGCTGCCTCATGTCTTTGTGTTGTGCCTTTCTCTACTGGCCATGAAGTCGTATCCCATAACGCTTTGAGTGCAATTCCTGGAGCCATATGAACTAGGGTCTGTCACATAGTAGCACTAACACATTTTGTAAACTACTGAATCTCTCTAAATGGGGGGTGATGGTAATATCAACCTTACAAATTTGAGGAATTAATCCATTAATTTATGCAAAGTGGTTGGAATTGTATGGGCAAACATACTGTACAGATAATGTTAGCTGTTATTATTCAGTCCTGACATACTTTGCTTCTCTCCCCCTGACAGCTGCTTATTCAGCCCAAGTGCATCCTGTAGATGAAGCCACTAGAAAGAAGAGCCAAAGGGTCTGCAGGCCTCGCCCTTTAGGGAGAGCCGAAGCCACTCTGGAAACTGCTCTGCCTGATGAAGAGTTTAGGTTCAATTTCTTTTAGCTTCTCCCCCAAGTTGGAACAGTCCCCCTCCCTTGGTGTGATGTAGGGATTTGTCTTGAGTGCAGAGTCTTTCCAGTACTTCTGTTCGCAGAGAACCCTGGGGTTGGTCTTTCCCTGCCTGGTCCAAGGATTTGGAGCTGTTTTGCAGGTGTGAGACCATCAGACAGGCACAAGACCCCATTTGTTTTCTGATGAAATGTTCCCTCTTCCAGAAGAGAGAGAGAGGTGCAGTTAGAAAATATACAATAAATTGAAATGAGTGTTCAATGTATTGTAGAAAGAATATTGTACTCAGTCTTTAGAATTAGATTAAGTGGCTGTTGGTCACAAAGATTAGTTGGGAATCTATTTAATCATACAGTGGTTTTCACTTTTGGAGGGAATCCCTGTTACGTGGTTTAATGCTTTATGCTGTTATGTCACATTGTCTTAATCTCTGTTTTTGGTAAAATTGGGTAAGGAGTGAAAGACCACCTGTGTTAGAGGAAGTACAGAAGATGCAGGGGTCTAGTATCTCTGGGTCCAGGCTCCCACCTGGGTCCTTTGTCCATGTTGCCTTCATTCCTGACCAGGTGTCATCCTCAGGGAACCAGCATGGCCCCCACCAGGCCAGGCTCTGTTCTTAGGAGCAAGGAGCTTCTTGCCTTAACAATTCTGGCCTGAGACCTGGATTGAGCCTCAGTGGACTTCTTGTCTAAATGTTGGCCATGTCAGTCTCAGGTCCTCTGTTCCGTGGAATTGTGAATCTCCAGGTAACCTAATCCTTATTGGTGGCTCAGTATTTGCTGGTGTCTCCCAAACTCAATTTCCAGACCTGGACCCCAACTGCCTACTAAACATTTTCACTGGGGTATTTCATAGGCATTTCAAACTTGATATATTTTTTTAATTGCATTTTAGGTTTTGGGGTACATGTGAAGAACATGCTAGTTGCATAGGTACACACGTGGCAGTGTAATTTGCTGCCTTCCTCCCCTTCACCTATATCTGGCATTTCTCCCCATGCTATCTCTCCCCAACTCTCCACCCTCCGCTGTCCCTCCCCTATTCCCCCTAACAGACCCCAGTGTGTAGTGCTCCCCTCCCTGTGTTCATGTGTTCTCATTGTTCAACACCCGTCTAGGAGTGAGGACATGCGGTATTTGATTTTCTGTTCTTGTGTCAGTTTGCTGAGAATGATGGTCTCCAGGTTCATCCATGTCTCTACAAAGGACACAAACTCATCATTTTTGATTGCTGCATAGTACTTCATGGTGTATATGTACCACATTTCCCTGTCCAGTCTATCATCGATGGGCATTTGGGATGGTTCCAGGTCTTTGCTATTGTAAACAGTGCTGCCATGAACATTCGTGTGCATATGTCCTTGCGGTAGAACTATTTATATTCCTTTGGATATATATCCAGTAATGGGATTGCTGGGTCAAATGGAATTTCTATTTTGAGGTCCTTGAGGAATCACCACACTGTCTTTCACAATGGTTGAACTAATTTACACTCCCACCAGCAGTGTAAAAGTGTTCCTATTTCTTCACATCCTCTTCAGCATCTGTCGTCTGCAGATTTTTTGATGATTGCCATTTTAACTGGCATGAGATGGTATCTCAAGGTAGTTTTCGTTTGCATTTCTCTAATGACCAGGGATGATGAGCATTTTTTCATATGTTTGTTGGCCTTATGTATGTCTTCTTTTGTAAAGTGTCTGTTCATATCCTTTGCCCACTTTTGAATGGGCTTGTTTGTTTTTTCCTGTAAATCTGTTTGAGTTCTTTGTAAATTCTTGATATCAGCCCTTTGTCAGATGGGTAGACTGCAAAAATTTTTTCCCATTCTGTTGGTTGCTGATTCACTCTAATGGCTGTATCTTTTGTGGTGCAGAAGCTGTGGAGTTTGATTAGGTCCCATTTGTCTATTTTGGCTTTTGCTGCCAATGCTTTTGGTGTTTTGGTAATGAAGTCCTTGCCTACTCCTATGTCCTTAATGGTTTTGCCTAGATTTTCTTCTAGGGTTTTTATGATGTTAGGTCTTATGTTTAAGTCTTTAATCCATCTGGAGTTAATTTTAGTGTAAGGTGTCAGGAAGGGGTCCAGTTTTCTGCTTTCTGCACATGACTAGCCAGTTTTCCCAACACCATTTATTAAACAGGGAATTCTTTCCCCATTGCTTGTTTTTGTCAGGTTTGTCAAAGATCGGATGGTTGTAGATATGTTGTGTTGGCTCTGAGGCCTCTGTTCTGTTCCATTGGTCTATAACTCTGTTTTGGTACCAGTACCATGCTGTTTTGATTACTGTAGCCTTGGAGTATAGTTTGAAGTCCAGTAGTGTGATGCCTCCCGCTTTGTTCTTTTTGCTTAGAATTGACTTGGCTATGCAGGCTCTCTTTTGGTTCCTTATGAAGTTTAAGGTGGTTTTTTCCAGTTCTGTGAAGAAGGTCATTGGTAGCTTGATAGGGATAGCATTGAATCTGTAAATTACTTGGGGCAGTATGGCCATTTTCACAATATTGATTCTTCCTAATCATGAACATGGAATGTTTCTTCATCTGTGTATGTCCTCTCTTATTTCGTTGAGCAGTGGTTTGTAGTTCTCCTTGAAGAGGTCCTTTACATTCCTTGTTAGTTGTATTCCTCGGTATTTTATTCTCTTTGTAGCAATTGTGAATGGCAGTTCGTTCTTGATTTGGCTCTCTTGAAGTCTGTTATTGTGTATAGGAATGCTTGTGATTTTTGCACATTGATTTTGTATCCGGAGATTTTGCTGAAGTTGTTTATCAATTTCAGGAGATTTTGGGCTGAGACGATGGGGTCTTCTAGATATACAATTATGTTATCTGCAAATAGAGACAGTTTGGCTTCTTCCTTTCCTGTTTGAATACCCTTTATTTCTTTTTCTTGCCTGATCGCTTGGCTGGAACTTCCAGTAGTATATTGAATAGGAGTGGTGAGAGAAGGCATCCTTGTCTAGTGCCATATTTCAAAGGGAATGCTTCCAGTTTTTTGCCCATTCAGTATGATATTGGCTGTTGATTTGTCATAAATAGCTTTTATTATTTTGAGATATGTTCCATCAATATCTAGTTTATTGAGGGTTTTTAGCATAAAGGGCTATTGAATTTTGTCAAAGGCCTTCTCTGCATCAATTGAGGTAATCATGTGGTTTTTGTCTTTGGTTCTGTGTATGTGGTGAATTACGTTTATAGACTTGCGTATGTTGAACCAGCCTTGCATCCCTGGGATGAATCCTACTTGATCACGGTGGATAAGCTTTTTGATGTGCTGTTGCAATCAGTTTGCCAGTATTTTATTGAAGATTTTTGCATCTACGTTCATCATGGATATTGGCCTGAAGTTTTCTTGTTGAGTCTCTGCTGGGTTTTGGTATCAGGGTGATGTTGGTCTCATAAAATGATTTGGGAAGGATTTCCTCTTTTTGGATTATTTGGCATAGTTTCAGAAGGAATGGTAACAGTGTGTTTCTGGTAGAATTCGGCTGTGAACCCATCTGGACCTGGGTTTTTTTTGTGTGGTAAGCTTTTAATTGCTGCCTCAACTTCACATCTTGTTATTGGTCTGTTCAGGGTTTTGGCTTCTTCCTGGTTTAGGCTTGGGAGGAGGCAAGTGTCCAGGAATTTAACCATTTCTTCCAGGTTTACTAGTTCATGTGCATATAGTTGTTGTAATATTCTCTGATGATGGTTTGAATTTCTGTGGAATCTGTGGTGATATCCCCTTTATAGTTTTTTATTGCATCTATTTGGTTATTCTCTCTTTTCTTTTTTATTACTCTGGCTAGTGGTCTATTTTGTTGATCTTTTCAAAAAACCAGCTCCTGGATTTATTGAAGGGTTTTTTGTGTCTCTGTCTCCTTCAGTTCTGCTCTGATCTTAGTTATTGCTTGTCTTCTGCTGGGTTTTGAGTTTTTTTGATCTTGCTCCTCTAGCTCTTTCAATTTTGATGATAGGGTGTCAATTTTGGATCTCTTCACTCTCCTCATGTGAGCACTTATTGCTATATGTTTTTCTCTAGAGACTGCATTAAATGTGTCCCAGAGATTCTGGTACATTGTGTCTTTGTTCTCATTGGTTTCAAAGAACTTTATTTCTGCCTTCATTTCATTGTTTATCCAGTCAACATTCAAGAGCCAGTTGTTCAGTTTTCAAGAAGCTTTGCGGTTCTGAGTTAGTTTCTGAATTCTGAGTTCTAACTTGATTGCACTGTGGTCTGAGAGACTGTTTGTTATGTTTTGCATTTGCTGAGGAGTGCTTTACTTCCAATTATGTGGTCAATTTTAGAGTAGGTGTGATGTGGTGCTGAGAAGAATGTATATTCTGTGGATTTGGGGTGGAGAGTTCTGTAAATGTTTATCAGGTTTGCTTGTTCCAGGTCTGAGTTCAAGTCCTGGATATCCTTGTTAATTTTCTGTCTGGTTGATCTGTCTAATATTGATAATGGAGAGTTAAAGTCTCCCACTATTATTGTGTGGGAGTCTAAGTCCTTTTGTAAGTCATTAAGAACTTGCCTTATATATTGGGTGCTCCTGTATTGGGTCCATATATATTTAGGATGGTTAGCTCTTCTTGTTGCATCGATCCTTTTACCATTATGTAATGTCCTCCTTTGTTTCTTTTGATCTTTGTTCCTTTAAAGTCTATTTTATCAGAGACAAGAATTGCAACTCCTGTTTTTTTTTTTTCTCTCCATTTGCTTGGTAAATGTTTCTCCATCCCTTTTTTTTTCAGCCTTTGTGTATCCTTGCATGTGAGATGGGTTTCCTGAATACAGCACACCGATGGGTTTTGGATTTTTATCCAATTTGCCAGTCTGTGTCTTTTGATTGGTGCATTTAGTCCATTTACATTTAGGGTTAATATTGTTATGTGTGAATTTGATACTGCCATTTTGATGCTAGCTGGCTGTTTTGCCCATTAGTTGATGCAGATTCTTCATTATGTTGATGCTCTTTAGCATTTAGTGTGATTTTGGAA